ACAATCAAGGAGTGCACTTTACCGTTCTTACTCAAGGAACTGAAGGCTTTTCTTGGTTTGGTTAACTTCTACCGACGTTTCGTCCTACACGCATCAGAAAGGTTATGGCCATTAACCGACTTACTTCGCGGTAATCCACGCAATTCAGAATTGAATTGTGCCGCGCTTACTGCATTTTCGGAGATCAAAACGGCTTTACCTCAAGCCACGATCCTCCCTCATCCTGACTCATCATCATCGTATTTCGCTATAGGAGCCGTTATGCGACAGAACATGTCCAGTAGTTGGCAACCTCTCGAATTTATTCACGACGCCTCACTCCCACGGAGACGAGATATAGAGTTTTTAGTCGAGAATGGCTGGCAACCTCCTGTGCCTTCAAACATTTCCATCATGCAGTAGAAGGTTGAGAGTTCATCTTATTCACCGACTGTAAGCCTCTAAAGTATGCTCTGTGTATCAAGTCTGATCACTACCTACCACGACAAAACGGACATTTGGACTATATCTCTCAGTTCACCACAGACTTTTGTCATATTATAGGCGAGTCAGACTATGTTGCTGATGCTATGTCACGTATCCAAGTCAGTGCATTTACTTTACTGGTGCTTTATCTCCATTCTATCAGCTGTCCAAGCAAGTGATCTCTCCTGTACAGAAACATAACTTTCTGCATCCCTTTAGTGCCAGGAAGAACCCCTATCTACTAGCTTAGTTACTATCCTGTGTGATAATTCCACTGGTTTTCCTCAATCCTTTGTACCCTTTGATTATCGTCGTCTAGTCTTTGATGCCCTTCACGGGTTGTCTCATCCAGCTATCCCAGCCCCATTACGCCTCATCGCTGCACGATACGACTGGTCGTCCATAAATAAAGATGTCCGTATGCGGGCGAAGCAATGCTCTTAATGTCAACGTCTCACGTTCAGGTCGCCGAGTTTGCCTACCTGTACGTTCTCGCGACTAATCTCTCAATCAACGATGGATACGGTATTGGACTTTATCCTCATACTACATGTATGATACACCTTTCTCTTTTCCTTTGATTTTTTTTTATCCTCAGACCATCGCCTTGTAGGTACCGTCGACTTCACCTATCCTTGGAGGTAGCTGGTCTGATCACCGACGCTCTTAACCACACAGTCGGTGGATGTTTCGGTTACGAATACTTCTGGTATACATATGTTCAGTTCTGGTTTCTTGGCTCAATGTGGTGAACACTAGAATATCATCGATCGTTTTCTCTTCATCAACACTTCCGCCCTACAATCGCACGTTTGCCGATCAGTTCCCCGATCGAAGCCAGGACATATCGAAAGTGTAACCTCTTTCTATAAAGGAGCTCCTGCAGTGGTATACTTTTAAGGAGAAAACGCGATTGGTGTGATTGGAACATAACCATAACCAATTGTACCAGTGATAGTTTTACTGCATCTCTACCAGAAACACTGAGCTTCTTCTTTCCGTGACCTTGAGCTTGCTCACGTTCTCGGTAGTCGCGTCCATAACTTTTGGCCTGATCTTGGTATTACGTCGATACCACGAGATCTCCTACGAATGTATCTTAGCTACAATCACAACTGGCCTTCACGTTCCGCCTATGGACGGATTTAACTTGGCCATTGGCACCATATAGTCTCAACTCGTTATTCTACCTTGACTTGGTGGACGAGGTTGCCTATCATGATGATCCAACGTCGCTACATATTTGCTGGGACGTATGTTTCTTTAGGTTCTACCATACCAGGTAGGTTAATTGTAGATCAATAAGACTAGAAGCAGCAACTTAAGGTCTCAGGATGACGTCGTTATAATAATAACTGTGGAAATGTGTGACAGAAGTAAGGTATTTCTTTCGAACAATCAGTATATGCATCGGTGCTGCCTGGTCACAGGGAAGAAAAGGGTTAGAAAAAGTCGACCCTGAAAATGCTACTACTGACCTTATCACACGGAATTCCTTCTGCGGCTATAAAGCCCTTTTATTAGTAGATGTAACACCTTAAAATGAATCCATTAAAAGCCATGCCAGACCGACCCCAAGCAGTTGACCCTTGGGCTCTGCGGTTACTCTCTCGAGTTAAGAAGACCAGCGCTAACCCAACTCCTTTCTCAAGATCTCCAAGAAACACAACTGGGACGGGGAGCTACATCCATCCTCATAAGCGCAACAACAATCAAATCGTTTCAAAATCTTTGATTAACTATCCTATCTCCAGAACAATCCTTCTCCTATTCTTTTTAACTGCTCATGGCTAATGCTTGCTATCCAAGTACACGAAGTATTATTCCTGGTTTCCGCAGAACCCACTCTGAGCTATATGTTAGAGCACTCAATGTTCGACCTGGTGCCATATAGGACAACAGACTTCCTAAAAATAGGACTCTAAAATCTCGCACTACCGATATGTGCTGCTGCTTTAAAACACGCTTACAGGGTCCAAGTAGAATCAGTTGTTTGACTCGTAAATATAAGGAACTGTCTCGATTCATTTTACATGTATGTGGAAGCCCCACCACATCCTGCGGCCTCGACAGTGTAACCATAGCAGTGAGTTTTAAAGCAGAACTAATTGTCTTATACTGGATTTCAGCTGGACAGAAGAGTTAGGGCTCGAAAAGATAAGGACACCTCTTCGTTGTCTCTGAATAAGCTCCCACTGATTGCAGTTCAGATGAGGAAAAATATGAATTACACAGACAGCTTTCGGACCTCCTTCAAAAAGTCACGCACACCAATATAGTAATTAAGACTGGTGAATTTAATTCTCAAGTAAGTAGATTAGGCGGAAAGTAAAGACATCTGGGTGGATCTTATAGTGTTGCGGCTCACAGAACAGATAATGGCAACCGTCTGTTGCATCTTTACTCAGTGAACCGCCTATTTCTGGCAAACACTAACTCCAAGCGCAATGGAAAACACCTTTTGTCATGGAGACCAACAAACTAGATCACAGTGCTATCAGCCATCAACGGAGAGGCTCGATAGAGTACTGCTGCTCAATCCAGATCATGCTCTTGTACTTTCACGTATTTCTCTACGTCTTTCTAAACGTATGAAAAAGGAACCAAGGTAATCTCATGGGGTTATATTTAATGATAGCTAAGCTATGAATGTATTTCATGACCAAACAGAAAAATAGTCAGGCAACCATTTAGTAAGTGATGCCTTTCCTGATAAACGAACAGCTATTGAAGGAGTACTGATCTATACAGATGCATCAAGCAAACCAGTGTCAGAAATCCACCCGCTGGTGAAACTCTCTTGGAAAAAGATGGGATTCTCAATCCAGAAGATATGATTGATGGGCAGAAAACTTGAGAAAGCAGTTCAACTGGCCCTGAGCTACATTTCGGTTACCCACCATCTCCAGTCAAGTTGATGTATGTCCTCTGACGCTGAAAGGCTTTTGGTGATCGAAGGTAAGGGAGAGCAGCGAACCCTAATAAGTTCGTCCATGAAATCTTTAAGGATGGTGATTGATTTTAACAGCGAGATCGACTGAGATCATAGGGAGAATCTGGAGAGTGGACGTTATCCGATCCAACTGGTCTCAACCACTGATCTTCACGATTTGTAAGACAGGAGAAAGGTCTTCTCGTGACGACCACACAGGAATCAGTTCAACTAAGATAGTAACTTAATATTAACTATAGTAACACTCTGATGCCTAACTAGTGCTCCTGAAGAGCAAACTCGAGAAAATCAGGACTGTTTCAGACCTGTACGTAAGGGTAAAGACTATACATCCTTACTTCGACAAGTCCTAGAACGCAGACACATACAGACGTTCGACAATAGTTGTATTCCTAGTCGTTTTAAGCTGTTGAATTTGAGGTTCTTTGCAATGTCTGTCACTGAAAGCAGTTCTAAACAATTACATTAACCTTATGCAGGCTCTCTACTCGAACGCTACTGGTCTAGTTAAAGGTAATCGGATTTAATTACCTCGAATGATATTCGTCCATTCTTATTCAACTTTAAAAGAATTTAGTGGCCTATGACTTGACTCCAGTTTGGATGAACAGTCGAGTATGTGATGAAATAAATCATCTTGTTAATTTTCCTATATGGTGTTTAGGCTAGCCTGTTTTGTACCATGACTGCAATAAGAAGCAAAATACGATCTTGCGGATGAATTTTTCATGCAATAATTTAAGCCGACAGACATGGAAATATGAAGCGCTAAGGCAAACTGAATTGAAGTGGAGGAAGCTAGCTAACTCAGTGTAATGGGGGATGACTAATCATTTACAGCCAGACAATCTCGCAAAAGCTAGCCAGCATGTACTACTCACATCTCGACCTGCCTATTATCTTTCGAATATACCTTCAGTTACCTTCATTTTTGACTTCTGGATTAACTGAATTCCGTATTCATTGCTAGAAAGGTTATATAGACAGAAGCAACGTCAAGGCCTAAATATCCGTGAAAATTTCAAGATAAAATATGTCAGTCTATTTGCCGTTCATTAACGTTTTGGAAGGATTAATCGTTACACCTTATCTAGCCGAGACGAACTCAAAAGAGGCTCGTAAACCACATAATCAGTAGTGGATTACTGTCTTCCTCTTGAACCAATAAGACTCAGTGTCCATCCCATAACTGATATACTATTATTGTCACCACATTCCATTAACCTACTTCTCTGTTTACCTTTTCTAACGCTTATAAGCCTTTTATTGCTGCACTTATGCCTATTTATATTGTCTGAGTAATGAATTATTTCATATTCCTCGGACGATTTTTAGAAGGTTTAATGACTTGTGTATAAGGCACTTATTCCAATTTCAAGATACATGAACTCACAAATCATAAACCGACTGACTAAAATTACTGCAATCGACTTAGTAGAATATCCATCATAGAAAGCCATTAAAGACCTGAATATTTCATTAAATGATGTGAATTGAGTAAAAGTAAAAGATTCGGAAAACGCTAGCCTGCTGTCGAAATACTAGATATTTTATGTTGGCAGTACTACTTCAGGGTAAGAATTGGCACCCTTTCTTCTTGCTACGCTACCCATGAAGGTCACTCACACTTACCAGAAATATAATCCAAAGGCTTCGTTTGGAATAATCGCTAGCGATTTAACAAAAGTCAGCTATGTTCCCAGTAAAGGCTCCAAAACAGGTGAACTTTGTCTGTGTGGAGCCGGTGAATCAGCAGTTATTTGGAAGCCACGGACATCTGAAAAAGTACTTGTGTAGTTTTTCGCAAAAATTATTTTTATGCTGGCAGGTTCATACTTTTGCAAGAGGGACTGGGTGCCATACTATTTCTTGTCTCAGGGCGTCTGAAGTTTCATCTCTGGATCCTCGAGTGGCTATTGGTTATTCTGATGGACTTGTTAATATCTTCAATATGAATACTGGTGATATTGAGGCCCATTTCCGTGCTGGCCGTTCACGAGTCACATCTATGGACCTACAAAATGATTTGCTTGTCTGCGCCGCGGTAATTATTGTTACTTTGTTGTTATTTTTTAGGATTCTGAAATAAATGTTTTCGACATTGTTTCTGGATCTGGTACTAGAATGAAAGGGCACCATGGTATCATCACCAAACTAAAAATAATGGCTGAAAGGAAATTATTAATATCAAGGTATTTATATGAGAGAAATATATGTATTTTCACACGTGCTTTGGTTTATGAAAAACGTGTCTTTCATTGCTCACTTATAAGATTTCTCAATGGTATTGTGTCAAAATTTGTAATGGTTAAGGATTTCTACCGATTCATCAACGTAAATGGAATAATCAGATACCAAATTTATGGGCTGTTAATCGACGGTAACATTCCTAATCTTTTGGTTCTGATCTAAAGTACTGTCAAACCCTATTACCTAAGACTTGGGGGGCTAGCGTATTAAGTTACTTGATATGAAATCAGTTGATCAAATTTTCATATCTTTGTCATTTCGTGACAATGTTCAACAATCGTCCGGCGTCATTACTGATCATCACTTGACATTTCCAACCATGTTTCCTTAAAATGTTGGTTGTAATTCTGGAAGTCACAAATGACTAAAAGTGTAACTAAGTAACTTGTTTTCAAACCATCGGTCGGTCAGCTGCAATGCAGAATTTGGTACGTACGTACATCAGTTCAAGTTGCCACTCCATATTTGCACAGAGAAGCAATTGTCAATTTAAATCCCATAGTAGTACAGGTAGTAGAAGTTTTCAAATCATACGTAGTCGTGAGTTATGTAGATACTTTACACATTTTTCCTGTATTAATGTTTTTGAATTCGTGTATTTCCTTCAACAGTTTGTTTTTCGTCTATTTTCAAGCGCACAGGACGGTTTTATAAAATTTTGGGATCTGAAAACTCAACATTGCTTTGCTACTTTGACAGGACATCCAGGACCAGTGTGGGATTTCGCACTCACTCGTTGTGGTGAATTACTTGTTAGTGGAACTAATGACCAAAACCTGAGAGTTTGGCAAATAAATTATGTAGGTGTGGTACATTTTTGTTCAATCAATTAGACGCATTTTTCTGGTTGATAAGAATTAATTTAGTAGTCATGTTTGCAACTAACGTGTATATCCAGTTAGGTAATTTCAAATTCACTAACAGTATAGATCCTCATACATTAAGATCATCTTATGGAAGTTTAATGTTTTTGTATTTCTGTTATAGTACTGAGACAAAACATTTACTGTCAAAGCTATCAAGGGATAAAATTAAGATTATTTTGTTCATCTAAGCCCAATATGTATTATGATTAAGTTAGGATCCGTAATTTTGGAGGAAGATTTTCGAAAGCTTTTGGTCTAGAAAATTTTCGTTAAAGTTATTATTTAAGTTAACATTTTATGATTTTATAAACCAGTTCGCTCCTGTTTGTTTCAGGTGGGTGAAAATAATTTACCTGTGACACATATCAATAAAAGTACTTCAACCACTGATGAAATAGTAAACCCCTTAAGTGAACTTCAGTCTCAAATCGCTGTACAATTTTTGGGTTGTGTTCAACGTGTAGGTGTTCGCCGAGTTCATTGTTTGGTTTTTGATCCTACTGGGACCTACTTATTATGTCAGGTATGATTTTGTGAAAATCTTGATATTTACTTAGTATCGGGATTTCTGCTCATTTTAACGCTACAGTTTTAGTGATTCCATATTCAGGAAAAGATTCATAATTTTTTCCTACATTTTATTGTGAGTTACAAGGGCTGAAGTTCTAAAACTTTAAAACTAACCTGAGGTAAAAAGTTGTCAAAAGAATATTATAAGACCTTACTTCAACAGTCTATAATACGTACACAAATACCTGAACTTACCTCAATTTTCCGCTTAAAATTCGTATTGGAAGCAAACTTGTTGCTTCTAAACAAACTTTGTTGTAACTAGGTGAAACGAGATTAGACTTTGATTAGGGGCTGATGATACTGCTGAGCTATGCAAGCTGAAGTATAGTTGACCGCAAACGTGTGGTCGAATGTTTGAAGGATGAGTATCCCAAGTGTATTTAGGGTTCATTTGATCTTAAACTGGAGATCTTATTACGGGTGACTGACGAAATATACAAAAGAATACTGATGTTGAAAATGCATATTTTCCTGCTTGTTTTCGTGGATGCCTTATTTCTAGATTTTTGTCTCCAGTTTTTTTGGAGAAATCTAAACTAAAGCACTTATCCATTTTACTTAATTTTCATTTCTAGTCTTTCGATCGAAGTGTGGAAGTATTTCGACTCTTGGACGAAGAAGCTAAAGCCAAAAGGTTACGTAAAAAGACCAAGAAAGCTAAAACGTAAGTTAATTTCAACTGCAACTGCTGTCTTGCCAAACGTATCAAACAAAATATACCACTTATTGGATACCGTGTGAACAAAATTCTATCACATACTATTATATGGGTTTCACTGAGATCCTCTCCTATTCATTTCATTTCGTAAACCCTTTCACTAATAATAATATTATCAATAGTAATAATTCGAATAAGTTCAGAACAACTGCATTAAATGAATATTCAGTCTAGTAGTAGTCACATTGTTTTCGTATACATGACTTGGCATTTTTTGGAATTCTTATCCTCATACAGATACCTAAAGCTCTAGATGACATTAGTCCTTTATGCTTTTAGGGGATTTTTCAATATCGATTTCCATATTCAAGCATAGCTTCGTGCACATTTAAGTTGTAACATTCTGTACTGTTTCATACCTATGTAGATTATTATTGAAGTATGCGTATACAGAAGTCATTCTTGTAAATAACTTGCTTTAGTCAGCTATTCACTAATGTGAGTTAAGTGGAATATATATATAAGCTTAAGCGAAATTTATATTTCGTTCACATTATCACCTGATCACAAGGAATTTCCAATACTAATGATTCTCAAACCAATTTCGGTTATTGTTTGCCTTAACCATTGTTGTTGTCTTGAGTAACTAGTGTGATATATTCCAGTATTAATACTTGTATAACTTCTGCACTACTTAGTCGTAAATTTAAATAAGTTGGCTACTAATTAATTTTAAACCACACTTAACACCTACAATTAATTTCTAACAAATAAGTCCATTTCTTAAAAGTTAGGCAGTCAAATTTACAGAGACTATAATTTTGAAAAAAGTTTTCAACGAAATTCACCGTGTTACTTTACAACTTATGATTAGTTTTGTCAAGAAACACTAACCATGCAACCGTTTATAAGTTCTTGTCGCTTGTAACATCATGTGACTGCTCTCATTAGAATGAGACATGTAGCTCTGTATAGATTTCAAGGTTATTTCCCAACTAACTTACAATACTACTCTTATAGTAAACAGCATGTATAAATCATCTTGTTATACGTTTCTTTTTCTCCGAAACGCTCGGTCAATTAACAATTGGCTTCTAACGTGTAAGATTTTTACTTTATGAAGTCATGAATTAAACAGTTAATCTTGTAGATAAACTTCGCACAAAAATGACCAGTCACCATATGAAAACTTCTTCATATACAATATTAAAGGTCTTTTTAAATAATTGTTTTCTTAAAATACCCTAACGCTAGTGGGCTATTAGCTAAATTCGTCTTTCATTACATTCATTTTTAGAAAGGGCTTGGATCCGTCTAGTGTGATCCTAGATGCAGAAGATGAATTACGTCCTATCTTGAGAATTACTCTATCAGCGAAGCCTAGTAGTTGTGACATTTTGGCGCCGCGTTTAATCAATGAACATGAATCCCAGAAACATCTTATTCGTGTATGTAAATTTTTTTTCATTAGACTTCATGTAACATCCGTGCATTGTTAATGTTTCTTCTTCTTCTTCTCTATTTTTTAACTTGCTTTTAAACAGATTATCTGCTCTCTCAAAAATAATATGTTAGAAGAACTGCAGCTGGTAGTCCCTATATCTCCATTTAAATTACAAACCCTACAACCTACGCTAACTTCCAATAAGAAATGTCCAAATGTCCGGTTATTAAATACCGTTTCTATTTTTGGGCATAGAAGTCCTATAATCGCTTGCAGTTTTACTAGTGATAACCTTGGCGTTTTTACATTATCTAAGACGGAAGCGAAACTGTGGAGTAGGTATGTACAAAATGAGTTGTAATGTCATTTTTCCTAAATCTTACGTGTTGAGTTTTTATAATTTTCCTAGAATTAAGTCATAACTTAATCAAAATTCATCGAATCTCTTATTCGACTAAAAGATAACTGGTTCTGTTTAAATATCATAACAACTGCGCTTAAACTACGTCCTTTATTTTCTCTCTTCTCAACTTAGGAGTTTAATACGAATCTAATAACAGGCACGTTTGAATGGAATAGTATAGGGTTCAATTGTTGGTGTTTGATAGAAGTTGTTATCAGTTACGTCCTCAGTGTAATGCGACTATCATCATATATCTAATAGTGAAAGTAGTGCACTTGGGTTTAGCGTCGAACATGAGTTTCTTAGTTCCAAGTTAAAAATCGACTCGTGAATCATTGTTATTAACTAACTTTACCTTGTACGTAGTGATGGGTTACCTTATACGTTATAACCTGTTATTTGGCTGAAAACAATTTAAGGACGGAATTAGCCTAAAATTCAATACAAATACATGAAAAGTCGTTGCTATGTAATCAAGTTCTTATAGCATATTCATTCGTTTCATATCCAGATTAGTTTTATAAATTTCCCCCGGAAGAAATACTATGCTTTGAAAAGATCGCTTTTAGCATGATTTTCGTAATGAATATCGAAAGTACGATAATACGAATGTGACACCAATATGCATTATACTAATTTATGCTCGACTACAATCTAGAATTTGAGATATCCATAAATTATTTAAACCTGATAAATAAATCTAACTAAATAACTTTGAATTACTTGTTTAGTTGATAGTGGAATCGAATGCTGCTGATTAGTATACTACTGTTTTATTAAGCAATGCCGTGGATAATTTAAATCAGTTGCATACTGTCAAAGAAATGAACGATAGAACGAATACTTTGTTGGTAGTATTCTTGGTAGATTGATCTCGTTTGGATTACTATCAAAAAGCAGGTCACATTGGAGAGCTTTTTCGTTCTAGCATGAAACTTCGTAGTAGTGTGCACCCTCCACCACTCCAGTGATTGGACCCAAAACGTTCATGTCTCGTGGCAGTGGCTTAGTTGCTAGAAGCCCTAAACAAATGATATAATGATACAATCACAACCTCAATCGATTCGCAACGTAGTGTGATGGTTATATAGTGCTGTAGGTAATGGCTTTCATCCCTGATATCTCTAAACCTCATTATTCACGATTTCCAACTAACGCTTCCTTAACATCTTGATATTGCGCGTGCGATATGCTGCGTCTCGGAAACACGCATACAGGATCCTAGTAAAGTCATTAATCTGATTTCGCCTTGTCAAAACAAAGAAGCAGCCCGATTTACTCTTCTTATATCCGGTAGCCCTGATGCTGCTTCCCGAGGTCTCGTTGGTGTAGGTGTAGCATTGAGTCGTAGGGCAGAACTAGCGCTCCTAGACTGGATCCCTGTAAATAGTCGCTTGTGCGCCGTCCGACTGAACGGGACAGTAAGGGCTCGGAAAGATAGGGACACTCGTCGTTGCCTCTTCGTCGTATCTGCCTATTCCCCCCACTGACTGCAGTTCAGATGGGGTGAAAGATGGGTTTTACAGAAAGCTTTCGGATCTCCTCCAAAAAGCTAAGCGCTCTGATATAGTAATAATGACTGGTGACTTCAATGCACAAGTAGGTAGACTAAGTGAAAATGAATGACACCTGGGTGGATGTTATGGTGTCGCGGCTCAGAGAACAGACAATGGTGACCGTCTGTTGTAAGTATGCTCAGAAGACCGCCTATTCCTAAAAAACCTTAACTTCAGGCATAAGGAAAATATCATTTGACCTGGTGACCTCCAAAGTCGTCTCACCGCTGGACCCAACTAGATAACATTGCCGTAAGCCACCGATGGTGGTGTTTGATAGAGGACAGTCGCTCGTTCTGGAGCACATGTTTAGATTCAGATAATGCCCTAGTGCGAGCACGTATTTGTTGGAAGCTTACTGGGCGTAGGAAAGACACCGTAAGGAAGCCTCTTAGGGTTTTACTTAATGATAATAAGGCGAAGAATATATTTCAGGAACAACTAGAAAAACAGTTAGGCGACCATTTAAGCGATTCGCATCCGGAGTCAGGTTGGAATGATATCAAAAAGACTATGGTAACAGCAATGATATCTGCTAGCAAGGTTAACCATAAGGCTAGAACGAAGCCGTGGATCTCAGTAGCATCCACCGATCTGATGGATACCCGAAAACTCATCCCACCTGGCTGTGAACATGTTGAAGAACGAAGTCAGCTTAAGCGCAGACTGATAAAAAGCCTGCGCAACGACCGTGAACAGTGGTGGGTGGCGAAAGCAAAAGCGATGGAAAAGGCAGCGGCGATTGGCAACAGTAGACAACTTTTCCGACTTATCAAGGAAACTGGTATTAGGAATCCTAATGTAAGTGAGACTATCTCGGAAAATGATGGGACTATTATTTATTCCTAATCCAGGAGACTGGATCGATGGGCAGAACACTTAAGGGATCAGTTCAACTGGCCTCGAGCCACTCTTCCGTTACCCACGATCTCCAGTCATCCTGAATGGCAAATCGACGTAAGTCCCCCTAGTCTTAATGACGTTGAGAAAGCGTTAGGAAATCTGAAGCGAGGGCGAGCTGCAGGTCCTGATAGACTGACCCCTGAGATATTTAAGAATGGTGGTCCATTTTTTGCAGCTAGGTTGACTGAGATCTTGGGTAGAATCTGGGAACTGGACGTAATCCCATCCGACTGGTCTCAACCACTGATTGTCCCAATTTATAAGAAAGGACAGAAGTCTTCTTGTGACGATCACAGTGGAATAAGTCTAACTAATATAGTTTCTAAATTGTTAGCCTCGATTATACTTAGACGCCTTACTAGTGCTTGTGAAGAGCAGACTAGAGAAAACCAGTCTGGTTTTCGACCTGGACGTGGCTGTATAGACCACGTCTTCACACTACGACAGGTCCTGGAACACAGACACTCATTTAGGCGTCCTACAATAGTTGTCTTGCTGGACCTAAAAGCGGCATTTGACTCAGTGGATGGTGAGGTTCTGTGGCAGTGTCTGTCACTGAAAGGTGTACCAAAGAAGTACATTAACGTTAAACAGGCTCTTTACTCGAACACCATTGGTCGAGTGAGAGCTTTTGGCGAACTGTCACCGGAATTCTTGGCTTCAAGTGGTGTCCTTCAGGGATGTCTACTCTCTCCATTCTTGTTTAATTTTATCATAGACATGCTCCTAGAAATAACCTTATCCTCGTCTGAATTTTCAGGAGTAGACCTTCTACCAGGTGGCTCGCTTATCGACTTAGAATATGCCGATGACATTGTCCTACTTCACGTATCTTGGTAGTCTCATCAGTGCCGATACAGAAGGCTCGATTGGCTTTTGCCAACCTGCGTCACCTATGGCGCGGGCGAAATATCCGTTTGCTAACCAAAGAACAAGTGTAATGTGCAGCAGTTCGCCCCGTCCTACTGTACAGATGCGAGACTTGGCCGTAATGAGTAGAGGACTTCCGTATGGTACTAGTCTTCGATCATGATGTCTCAGAAGCATTGCTCGTATATCCTGGGACAACCGTATAAGCAATGCTGTCGTTAGGAAACGAGTTCTAGGTAAGGATGGCAAATCAATAGATGAAGTAGTGAAACTTCATCAGTTGAGGTGGTTTGGACGCGTTATGTATGCCTAACCACCGACTGCTGCGACGAGCTATGTTTTGCAATGTAGGAGTAAATTGGAAGAAAGCTAGGGGCGGCCAAACTAAAACATTGCAGAAATCCATGAACTCATTGAGAACTGGACTGAGTCATGTTGGTAGATGTAGGCTATCTGGTTTGGGTCCGCGAGACGATAGTCACCGATGGTTAGAGACCTTGAACGACATTGCTCAGAATCGTTTGCAATGGCGCAGGTGCATCCACTCTCTGTGTTCTATGACATTCTAAGCTTCTGCATTCCTCATAATCTCTACCTTTCTCCTTCTAAATTTATCTTACTGAATTATACTTCTCGATTCATATCTTCGCTCCCTAATCTTCTCCACTACTGCTAATACTTCTATTATTGCTATCACTCTTGGATTTGAACTGACAGTTGCGTCTCTGTGCTGACGTGGTATGGCAACCTGAACTGATGTACTTACGTACGAAGTTCTGCGTTGTATCTGTCTATCTGTCTTATTGCGCGTCCGCGGCAGGACCTCAAAGTCGTGCTTTTAATCTCTAGTGAGACGAGTGGATGCAATCCTGAGGAATGTTAGAAAAATCTAAAACTTACAGTCAGAGAAAAATTGCAAAATTAGTTTCATATATTTATTACTGTAATTCAGTGTACTTTTGCATTTAAAAAATCTTTAAAAATAGTGGTATGAAATGACTTTTTCATTTGTTCTATTTTCCGGGACCTTAAATTCAAAGGGTCTTCTGTGTTTCTAGTAAATACAAACTAAAAGGTGATAAACCATTTCGTCTTGAGCAATCATTTTCATGGAATAAAAGTTGACAACACTATTTTCACATGATTCTCAAACTGTCTTGGATCACATTCGGAAAGAGTCTAACCTTTTGTATTACTACTCTTTTTAGTTCTCTCATTGGTTTAAACTACAATACATTTCTTTTTACCATCATTTTTACTATATTTAGGCGCTCAACAGCATGTCTAGCTACGTTAGAATGGAAGAGTCATCCGAACAACAAACCTAATAATACAGATGAACCATCTTCAAGCAATCAATTACCTAATAAGGCGTCTTCAATGGTACTTGCTCCAGGTGATCGTCATGTAGTCATTGGATATGAGGTACTTTGGTCGCACTGAAGTATTCTTCATCAAAAGTGTATCTCTTGTATAATTGTCCTTTATAATTACTCCTTTTTTGTTTAAGATATTGTCATCGCAAGTCAAACTGATCAGTGTTCTTATTGTTGAGCAGTAATATCATACAATCTATTTTAACCTAGAACACATAGTGGCGATGACTGTCCAAATTAGTTTTAGTGCAATCATTTAAGTGTACGATATTTTGTTATGATTGCTTTTCGGTTCTTCAGAACATAGTGCAATGGATTCCCTATACTTTTGAATACTGTATGATATATTCTCCCAAGAAAGTTACTCAATAAAGTAAATGTGACATGTTACATTTACTGTTTTTAAAACAGCGTAATCATTTAGGGATATATTTATCTGCATCATCACTCCGCCTGGAGCCCCTCTAGGGGTACTGCCGGTCCCAAGCCCGGACAAAAGAGGGGGGTTGGCCACCCCTTCCTACAAAAAAACTAACTCGCTAAGAAAACCCTAACCAGAAAACATAATTCAAACCATTTTAACTCTGCCCTGGGAGTTAGAAGGTCTTCTTTCAGAAGAATTCTGACGTCTCATGATGAAAGCCGAATTCCTTCGGAAGTCACGGGGTCGATGCCCATTCTCACAACCAGACCAACCATTCTTTTGGGTTCATGGAATGTCCGAACATTGTGGGAGATCGAAAGACCATTTCAAACTGCTGCACAGATAAAACGATACAACCTGGAGAAGCTTGAAATCAGGTAAACGCATTGGACTCAGGTTGGACAACTGAGACTAGCTGCAGCAGAGCTGCTGTTATACTCCATCCATGAAGAAGGAAATGCCTCACACACACAAGGAGTTGCACTGATGCTGTACAAAAAAGCAAAAAGGTAGTGATAGGATGGCAATCTCATGGATCCAGGATCATTAAAGCATCCTTCAAAATAAAGGAGGGTATTTCAATGAACGTCATCAAATGCTATGCACCTACAACGACTACAATGACGACGTTAAATATCAATCTTCGACAGGATTTAATCATTCTAATGGGAAACCTAAATGCTAATGTTGGTATGGACAACACTGGATATGAAGACATCATGGGACGACATGGACCGGGAGAAAGGAACCAAAATGGTGGGAGATTCGCGAACCTATATGCTTTCAACAAACTGGTCATCGGCGGCACATCATTCCCGCACAAACGCCTACACAAAGCTACATGGATTTCACCGGATCACAACAAAGAATCAAATCGAACTTATATGTATCATTCAAAAGTTCAGAAGGACCACGGAGGACGTGAAAACCAAGACAGGAGCCGATACAGCCTTAGATCACCATTTGCTGATTGCCAAAATGAAACTAAAATTCAAGGAACACTGGATAACGGGGCGAACAACATCACAAAAGTTTAATACGGCCTTTCTTCGGGATACTAAAAGGCTCAACGAATTCAAGACAGCCCTCAGCAATAGGTTTTAGGCCTTGCACGATATACTCAATGGAGAGAAAACAGTCATGGAGAATAATTGGAAAGGGACCAATCCCTTCAACATGTTAGGAGGTCCTGGGTCACAAGAAGCACCATCAAAAGGAATGGATCTCTATTGGTACTCTTGGAAAAATTGAAGAAAGGAGGAACAAGAAGGCAGCAATCAACATCAGCCGAACAGTAGCAGGGAAAGTTAAGGCACAAACTAAATACACAGAAGCAAACAGACAAGTACAGAGGAGCATCAGATCCTACAAACGAAAATATGTGGAAGATCTAGCAATGATGGCGGAAAAGGCTGCAAGAGAATGAAGATTGAGACTATTGTATTACACAAAAACAAGCTCGCCGGAAATCATCAGGACGACCAGCTAGAAGTGAGGAAGACAGAGCAATCAACAAGATTGACGGACAACGAAACAGGTAAATAGAGCACTTCAAAGAACTCTTAAATCAACCATCCCCGACGAACCCACCCAACATCGGGACAGCATCTATGCACCTCCTAATCGATTTTAGCCCAGCAACAATTGAAGAGATCAGTATGGCCATCAGACAAATCAAGAGCGGCAAAGCCGCAGGACCAGACAAATTTCCATCATAGGCAATGAAAGCAGACGTGGCAGCAGCTGCAAGAATATGTCCAGTTCTCTTCAACAAGATTTGAGATGAAGAACAAGTACCAACTGACTGCGAAGAAGGATACCTAATCAAAATACCAGAGAAAGGTGATCTCAGCAAGTGTGAGAACTATAGTGGAATCACTCTTCTCTCAATACCAGGTAGTCTTCAACAGCGTGTTGTTCAACAGAATGAAAGACTTCGTAGACGCTCAAATTCCTTATCAACAGCCTGGATTACGTAAGGATCGATTGTGTACAGACCAAATCGCAACATTACGGATCATTGTGGAACAATCAATTGAATGAAACTCACCACTCTACATCAACTTCGTTGACTACGAGAAAGCATTTAGTACTATGAACAGAACAACACTGCAGGCTTCGACACTACAGCGTGCCTGAGAATATAGTCAACATCATACGGGATTCCTATGATGGATTAAACTGAAAAATCGTGCACACAGGACAGCTGACATACTCGTTCGAAGTGAAGACCGATGTCAGAGGCAAGGTTGTTTACTCTCACCTCTTCTCTTTCTCCTGCTGATCGACTGGATTTTGAAGACGTCGACATCTGGAGGGAAGCACGGTATCCAACGGACAGCTAGGATGAATCTGGACGATCTGGACTTCACGGATTATCTGGCTCTTCTATCGCACATACAACAACAAATGCAAGAGAAGACGACCAGTGTAGCAGCAGCAGGTCTCAACATACATAAAGATAAAAGCAATATTCTCCGATACAACACAACATGCTTGATGGAGATGCCTTGGAGTACGTCAACACCCTTACATATCTTGGCAGCATCATTGACGAGCAGGGTGGATCTGATGCAGATGTAATGGCGCGGATCAGCAAAGCAAGGACAGCATTTCTGCAATTGAAGAACATCTGGAACTCAAATCAACTATCAACCAACTGCAAAGTCGGAATTTTCAACGAAAATGTCAAAATAGTTCTACTATATGGGACGGAAACTTGTAGAACTACGAAAGCCATCATCCAGAAGATACAAGTATTCATTAACAGTTGTCTATGCAAGTTGCTTCGGATCCGATGGCCAGACATGATTAGCAACAACCTACTGTGGGAGAGAACAAACCAGATGCCAGTGGAGGAGGAAATGAGGAGAAAGCTCTGGAAGTGGATAGAACACACATTGCGGAAAGCACTCAACTGCGTCACAAGACAAGCCCTCATTTGGGACCCTCAAGGTCAAAGGATGAGAGGAAGGTTAAGAAACACATTACACCGAGAGATAGAGAAAGACATGAAGAAAATGAACAAAAATCGGAGAGAACTGGAAAAGGGAAGCCTAGGACGGAGTAGGTTGGAGAACACTGGTTGGTTGACAGGCGTAAGTATGTAAGTAATTACCACAAATTAATTTAATTCTATTCAAACTTACTGGAACAGAATTAGATTCAAAGCCGTTAGTACCATACAATAGACTGTACAGTATGTAACTAGGCAACTCAGTTAATATTTATATATTCAACAATAAACGGATTGTATTGTTTGAAGTTCTGCTAATTATTCCATCAAATAATATTACTTCGAATACTTGTTGGTGATAAAACTGATGAAATGTTTTTTTTGCAGACCGGTCAATTAATTTTATTCGACCTGACTTCGAAATTAGTAGTGCAGATTATCGATGAAGCTCACACTGGTGCTGTACGAAGTATTGCTGTAACCGGAGATAAGGTAGATGTGTTTTAATTATGTCTGTTTTGATGTTCATTTAAAATTCGGAAAGTAAAGTGCAATATACATACAAATTTATGTATTAAACAACTCCAAACTTCTTGTGTAAGGACTAATGATACTATTAATCTATCCAAGCGTTTGTTAATAGAACAGAACTCTTTTAAAGATCAAATAATCTTCTTGAATAACCTTTCATAAAGTTGAGTAAATTGAATGTTCCATCGCTTTGAAATGAAGCCACCTTCATCTTTGTCTCTTGTTAGTACCTAGATAACGTTTGTGATAGTTTTAAATGTATATTACTGGTTATGTCTAGAATACTAGCCATAGTCATCCCTAGTAGCGTAGTTGGTCAGCCCGTCAGTCTCATAATCAGACTAGTCAAGTTATGCAAAGCGTATGAGAAACTAATCACTAAAAAAGTTCGGATTTCATTACTAATACTTTCCTCTACACTCCTCTCTTAATTTAGGCATTATATACTATAGCTGTTTTTACTCTAGTTCATTTTTTCACCATCAGTTAAGGTTACTTACTATCAATGAGGCTTACACTTTTCCGATGTAACTAATATTACATTTTCATAGTCATTATCTCTTCGATTAACTTACTTTCTTTTAAAAGCACCTTTAAAATGCCTTCAGCTATTGCAAACTCATTAATTCTGCTTTGTAGAATGGCAATTACTATTTCTATTTCAAGAAGCGGAAAATATTACAACATGCTATCGTATCCTAACGATATATTAACTGTATTGTACTTGATTATCTTTTTTTGCGCTTCGTTTGTAGAAAAAGGTTATATCCGGTGGGTCTGACAAACAAGTGAAGTTCTACGATTTTAGTTTAAAAACTCCTGATAATGGGTAAGTAAAACTCGCTTTTAGTACACTATTTATATAACAATTTTAGTGAGACTTACTGCCAGTTATAGAGATTGCACATAGTACCTACTTGTTTATTTGAAATCAAATTGTTGTGGTAATCAGCAACGTTTAAATTAGTCGAGAATACTTTTTATTGATATCTGTAAATTTATTACCTGAAACAGTCATAAATATGCATCAGTTTAGCCAATTAAAGTTTTTATTTTTAATATAAACATAAAATCATTTATAGTGAATACTTTCGTCATCTTATTTTTTTAGAAAACCACATCTCTGTCTTGTTGATAATAGCCCTTCAAAATCTGTTTCTGATCAGATTAGTTGTCTAGCTGTTTCCCCAAATAATCGGCTGGTGGTCATTGCTTTGATGAATTTCCATGTGGACGTATTTTTCACTGATTCTTTTAAGGTAGGTTATTTTGCTGTAAAGTTCTAGTTTCATTTTGCACTTTATTGAACTGTTTTTTGTTCGATCTGTTTATTTGACGAAATAGTAGCTCTTTGCTTGAATAAAACTGATGAAAACTACCGTAGACACTAAAGTTTTTCTTTGATATTACTTTTTTATTAGCGAATACATTCACTTTATGGTCATTCTGCTCCAGTTACTAGTTTGGATATTTCCTCCGACAGTCGTTTAATTATAACAGGGAGTACTGATAAAACAGTTCGTTTATGGGAATTACAGTTTGGTAATTGTCAGCGAAGATTTACTTCACATTTAGAACCGTAAGTTTTCTCATGTAGCTTCAAAGTAGAACTTTTTTGAGTTTACATATGTTCTTGTGAGTTGCTAGATTTCATAGCTTGAATTCTTCTTGATATTCAATACATATTTGGATAATTTATATTTTTTTGTATCACTTTACCTGTTAACTTTTGTTTCATGTGTAAACTATTATTGTGTTTTGCGCCTTTCCGAAGTTATTGTTTTTAATTGCGAACTTCTCTTCGATTTATTGCATAGTTTGCCCGTATTATAACGCTGTTATTCTGTTGATGTTATGTGTATATTTTTGTTTGAGTGATCCATATATCCGAACTATATTATTAGACCTTGTTTCCTTGCTGAGTTATTCTTCACTCTGTCTATCAGAGGCGAGCGAGTATGGGAAACTGAGTTTTGAAATAATGGTCTTCTAGTGTTACTGTCGTCTGTTCAGTCAGTCAGTCAGTCAGATGCAACGTAGAACTTCGTACGTAAGTACATCAGTTCATGTTGCCATACCACATCAGCACAGTGATGTAATTGTCAATTCAAATCCAATAGTAGAAGAGGTAGTAAAGGTATTAGAAGTAATCGGAGAGGTTAGGATTAGAAGATATTATTCAAGAAGTATGATTCAGTGAGAAAAGTTTATAAAGTCAAAACTAGAGGTGTTGAAGAACCCAGAAGATTAGGATTAGAGAGAACACAGAGAATAAATGCACCGGCGCCATTGCGAACGATTTTGAGCCATGTCATTCAAGGTCTCTAACCATCGATTATTATCATCTCGCGGACCCCAACCAGGTAGTCGACAACTACCGACATGGCTAAGTCCGCTCGTCAATGACTTCATGGATTTCTGCCATGTTTTCGTTTGGCCGCCCCTAACTTTCTTCCAACCTACTACTACACTACAAAATAAAGCTCGTCGAGGCAGTCGGTGGTTAGGCATACGCAACACATGTACCAACCACCTCAACTGATGAAGTTTCATTACTTCATCTATTGATCTGCCATTCTTACCTAGCACCCGATTCCTGATAACAGCGTTGCTCACTCGGGTGTCCCCACTGTCGTCTGTTACGTCATATCTGTCGTGTCATTGGTGCTAGATAGACATTTTAGGCGAGTTAATTAACACTAGGACTAGATCCGTTTTCATGGGTCCCAAATAACTATAAAAATCTGGTTTTTTGACTAACGCATCATAAATAAAACTTACTTTAAAGTCTGCTTCCAGTTTCTCACATCGCAATTATTTGAAATCGTTTACTTCACTAAGAACAATAGATTGGAGTTTTTATCGTAAACTGCGGCTATCCAACGTTACTAATTTAAATAACTGGTTGCCAATAAATTGTAATTATTATCAGTAAGTTTTATTAAAGATTCTACATGAATTCTACGTATCCGATTGTTTTCATGTCTGTCATAGTTAATAATTAGCTCGATTTTCTTTCTCCATTATTTTCAAGCATCACTTGTGTTCGATTTATTCCACATACTTCATTGGCTGTTTCTGCTGATAAAGGTGGTCAGATCAAACAATGGGATATTAAAAAGTTCCGTGAAATTACTACTCTTAAGGTATGTTGAGTTTTTCATGCAAATTAAGTTTACTGATAATATAACAAGAAATAAGACAAAACGTAGTACCACTAACTCGACAACAACCAACTAACAGCACAACAATAAAAAGCCTTAAAGATACTCAGAACCAGGAATGATATAGTCATAGTTCCAGCGGATAATGGACGCATCACAGTAATTATGGACAAGGAAGAGTATATCAAGAAATCCAAGGAACTACTTGGGTACAGAAGCGTATGTAAACCAATCGACATAAACCAATAAAAAATTTGGACAACCAAATTTCAAGGACTATAAACAGGTTAGTCAAAGCAGGACAAATATCGAAATACGACCGATGGAGAATGAAATCCAATGGACCTCTGATTCCACGATTCTACGGTAGGCCGAAACTCCACAAACCCAACACTCCACTACGTCCACTTGTATCCCTCCCTGGAACCCCGACCTACAACTTATCAAGAGAAATTTCAAGGGTGTTAATACATCTCATGGATTCATCCAACTACTCCGTTAAGTCTCCCACACAATTCTTGGATACACTCAAGGGGATTCAGATCGACGACGAAATGATGATATCCTTCGACCTCAATAGACCCAAATTTAGCTAAAGAAACTCTATCCCTGCTCCTTACCAACGACACGAATCTCCAAAAATACACGAAGATTCTAAGTCGAAGTCTCCTAGAACTCATCGATTTATGCCTAAAAACGTATTTCCTATTCAACAGCAGTATCTACGAACGAACAAAAGGAACTCCAGTGGGATCACCAAAATCCAGGACTCATCGTGGAAGCTGTGATGCAGAGACTAGAAGCATCGGTTTTACCAGTGATCAAGGCAAAAATGTAGGTTCGCTATGTAGACGACACATTCGGCATTATTAAAAATAACGAGCTGTAGAACATCTACAATCAGATCAACAACGTCTTTGATGACATAAAGTTCACAACGGAAAAAAGAATCAAACAACAGTCTGCCATTCCTGAATGTACTAATCATCAGAACGGGTATAGAAAAACTGGAGACTCAAGTATTTCGGAAGCCAACTCACACAGGCATAATTCTCAGCTACAGCGGCAAGAACTCACAAAATCAACTGTGTACAGAAGTTGTTCAGCACACTTGAAGCACAACTACTGAAACCATTTGGAATAGGCGTAACACACAAACCAATAGAATCACTCCAATCAATCCTATGTAGACCGAAGGACAAAATGATGAAGGAAGAATAATCAAATATCATCTATAAAATAAATTACTCATATTGTGAAAAACACTACGCAGGACAAAGTGGACGTCCTCTTCAGCTTCGTTTACGTGAACACCAAGTAGCAGTCACGACATTTCCTTGCTTAAATCAATACATACGGACAATCATAGACATATGTTCGATCGGAACAATGTGGAAATACTGGATAGGGGGAGCACAAAGAACACTAGAGAATTTTTACAAGCTCGGTGCTCAGGTCAATCAACTCTACAACCTAAGCATCCAGCTCAGAAAATGACACACCACCCCAATCATCCACCTGAGTTAAAAATTTTCTCCATCTCAATATTTAATTTATCGTCTGGTCATAGGTATTACGCCTAAATTAAGAATCTGTTATAGGAGACTTTTTTCAGTGTCTTCTTAAAGATAGTACATATTGGTAAGCAGTTAGTGTTCGGAGTAATTTCGTGTTTTATCTCTGCCAAATAGGAAAATGTATTAAACTTTGAAATTTATGCTTCATTTAAAAACAAAGATTTGCATCCTTCATTCAAGTTACTCCCAAATATCACTAAAGTTAATGGAAAATCCATCTGATTCATGTGCTTATTGTAACCATGTAAATAAGTGACCAAACATCTTGAAGAACATATTATCTAGCTTTCCAGCTCAAAAGTGCCTGTAATTTTGCGATTGGTCATTGTGTCGCTTAATTTTTAAACTTTAAATTTTAGTTTGATTTTCACATGAATCCAGCGCATATTTACTGCTAACTATCCACGGAATAATTGACCACGAGAAGGCATTTGGTACTGTGAACAGAACAACACTATGCAGGCTTCTTCGACACTACAGCGTGCCTGAGAATATAGTCAACATCATACGGGATTCCTATGATGGATTAAACTGAAAAATCGTGCACACAGGACAGCTGATATACTCGTTCGATGTGAAGACCGATGTCAGAGGCAAGGTTGTTTACTCTCACCCATTCTCTTCCTCCTGCTGATCGACTGGATTTTGAAGACGTCGACATCTGGAGGGAAGCACGGTATCCAACGGACAGCTAGGATGAATCTGGACGATCTGGACTTCACGGATTATCTGGCTCTTCTATCGCACATACAACAACAAATGCAAGAGAAGACGACCAGTGTAGCAGCAGCAGGTCTCAACATACATAAAGATAAAAGCAATATTCTCCGATACAACACAACATGCTTGATGGAGATGCCTTGGAGTACGTCAACACCCTTACATATCTTGGCAGCATCATTGACGAGCAGGGTGGATCTGATGCAGATGTAATGGCGCGGATCAGCAAAGCAAGGACAGCATTTCTGCAATTGAAGAACATCTGGAACTCAAATCAACTATCAACCAACTGCAAAGTCGGAATTTTCAACGAAAATGTCAAAATAGTTCTACTATATGGGACGGAAACTTGTAGAACTACGAAAGCCATCATCCAGAAGATACAAGTATTCATTAACAGTTGTCTATGCAAGTTGCTTCGGATCCGATGGCCAGACATGATTAGCAACAACCTACTGTGGGAGAGAACAAACCAGATGCCAGTGGAGGAGGAAATGAGGAGAAAGCTCTGGAAGTGGATAGAACACACATTGCGGAAAGCACTCAACTGCGTCACAAGACAAGCCCTCATTTGGGACCCTCAAGGTCAAAGGATAAGAAGAAGGTCAGGAAACACATTACACCGAGAAATAGATAGAGACATGAGAAAAATGAACAAAAATCGGAGAGAACTGGGTAAGTGAAGCCCAGGACTGAGTAGGTTGGAGAACACTAGTCGGCGGCCTATGCTCTATTGGGGGCAACAGGCGTAAGTAAATATTCATTGACTAATTACGTATAGTAATGTACAATAAACAGCATAATTTATATCTATATATTATCTTATTCTAAAATGGTAGTCTTGTTTGCATAATTCCGGCATCACTTTAATCATTTTCAGGGTCATAACGGTAGCGTAACCTGTTTAGCTACAGCGATAACTAACACAGCTCTTTTGACGCAAAAGAAAACCCCTAAATTGGCAAAATCGCGCAAATCACGTCCACAGAACCACCAAGATGAAGGCAGCGATGATGATGATGATATGGACGAACTGTGGGGTGGTCTTATTGTATCCACTGGTCAGGATTTCAGCATAAGAATATGGGAGGAAGCTGACGAACTTTTGATTTTAGAAGAAGAAGAACAAATTGCACGAGAACAGGAGGAGGAAGAAGAATTGGTCCGATCAGAAGCAGTTATTCCTGGTGCGATGCCTTCGGAAGCCAGTGAAATCGGTCCTTTAGGTCGACCAACTGGTAATACAAGAGATGCTGTAGGTTCTCCCCAAATCAGTAACATCGTTTTTGTTATTAGCCTGTGCATTATCGAGTTTCTAGATCAAACAAAATTCAAGTTTATTATCTTATATTTAAAAGCTGATTGCATCGAGCAAATAGACTTTCATTTCCCTAAATTCTATTGTTTGTTAACTTATTGGCTATACAAGAGTAATCGTTTAAAAAGGAGACATTTTCATAGTACAAATAAAAGATACTACAACTTTGACTAAAAATCTTGCGTTTGCCCAACACAGTCCAACTTCATTCATGTAGCAGGAATTAAATGATTGCCTTCTTTTTCATATCTTTTTAAACTACCAAATTTTGATACCGGTATAACCCAGTGGGTGCAACATTCCTCTTTGTAACTAGTAAAAATCCGGGTTTCAGGCCTAACGTAATTTTCGAATGTTTCGGAGCAGGCAGACAGTATCTCTAATCAGTACACCTTACATATAGCTGGTGGCCTAATATGCAACCTTATTCTAATACGCAAACAAAAACGAGTGGTTGTAGTGATCATTTAATTTGTAGCCTCTTTAACTGTACGAATTCAAAATACTGTAGACATAATAATGACAAAAAAGTGGACAACTGGACTTTAAACTGTTAGCAACAACTAGAACAAACCATTTTTATTCATCCTGAAAAACCATTGTTATATATGCACTCTTACAAACAGTTTTCTGGTTTCATATCGGAATGAATACAAGTGAGATGTAACTAACTATTTAAAATCTAATCATAAGGAATATTAAAAAAACACTTGGATCTTTTTTACTAGTTAACTAAACCTTATATTCAATATCTTAATAATTACATGCTTCTTTAACATTCTATCCGTAAATTTCAGGCTGATATGTTTATGGAAGCAATGGATATTTATGAAGAAGAGATAGCCAAGCGCAAAACTGGAGCTAAAAATATAACACCACATCCTCTAATGGTTGCTCGTGGAGCAAACTGTCCAGAGAAATTTCTACTCAAAAGCCTGATGGCTCTAAGAGCACCATACACTCTCTTAGGTGGTGGTGGGGCAGGTTTAGAACATACATTGGGTGCTTTAACTAGTGAACATGTTCGCCGTTTACTTCCTAAGTTAGCGGATTGGTTATCTCGTGGTTGGGAAGTAGAACTTGTTGGGCGATCAATTCGCCATTTAATAACTCTACATTTCGGTCTTGTAATATCATGTTCCGAGCTACGTGAGGTAATCCGTCAGTCATCTAAGGCTCGGATGGAACAATTAGTCCGTGCAAAAGTATGTATTTTATTTTAACCGTTTTTTTACTATAGAGTCATGTAGTTTGGTCGTTTATCTGTGAATAATGGCCTGTTTGTCCACAATTATTTTTGATTTCTCTTATTTCAATGGACATCACTCTCATAATATCTCTACTAAATGGTGAAACACCGAACATGCCTGTAAATTGATATCTGTTATTGCTATTTATTACTTTTTTTCAGCTGTGTATGTAGGAAATATGATTGAAGCCAAAAGGAACTACACGGATTGAAATATAATTCAAACATGCAAACCGAATCCATAGACTGTTATCATGATCATCATCCCCGTATATGTATCACCGCAGACAGCTGTTTCACCTTAAGTATGAGGCTCTTCAGCAATTTACGCTACCATCCTACCGTGGATCGAGTCCAAGGCCTTCAGGTCTTGTTTCTAACTCCCAACTATTAGGACTCCTAACTCAACATCTCACGATATAGTTTAAACTCCAAACCACTTATGATATAGGGTGATAATCATGTAATTTTATGGAATGACAGCTGTTCTACTTCCAATATGTTTAGGACATCTCGAAGTCACTTGTGAGCTGACTGTTTAGTTGAAAGACTTTTGTGTCTGTTAGTATCATTTGTTTATTATAATTATCTTTTAATACTTATTCATGTTGTCTTGCTTCTATATTGAAGCGGAATACTTTCAGAAATATCAGTTTCAATCACAATCATTTTTATACCTTGATAAACGCCAATTATGCTATACTTTCTTAAAATTTTAAGTTATTTTCATCTGTTGCTCTGCTTTATATTTCAGAATCTTATCGGTATGAATTTAGCCGGTTTAGAATGTTTAGCTAGAAAATTGGAAGAGAATCAACAAATTGATCTATTCGATGAATTAATAACGACACGAGATAAACGAATCAAGAAACACAAAGCTAAACAGGCGCGTTTAATGCCGTTACTTCCCGACTAATTTTATATTTCATATAGAGATGAAGAGCATATTTATGTATATGTATATAAAATAGAAATACTGTACCGTGATTCAAAATAACATTGTTCTTAATTTATACAGTCAAGGTGAGAGAGGGATGTAAGATAGGATAGGCAAATAACGTTTCATGTTTATGATGAATACAAAGATCATTTTATTGTGTAGTTGTGTGGGTTCGGGAAAAAATGACAACAAATCATAGGATTAATAGCTCCAGTAAGATTTGACGTAAGCATTATATTTATATACTTATCATCAACTAAATAAAAGTTGTACACTAGGAAATTAAGGATTATAATAAACCTGGCGTTACTGTTCAATTTATTGAATCAACAATTTTTCAATTATCATTTCTCTTCAGGTGCTAATCGGTTCTATATTCTCTTAAATGTAGTCTGTAATAAAACAAAAATCGACAGATCAAAAAAAATTTGATCATAATTTTATGTAGAAAGAATCAAACGATTTTAGTTATTATTGTTTTTTTTCGGTAGAATGAAATTATAATCTCTATTCATTTCAATTTTCGAATAGAAATTCACTACTCAACTTAGATTGTGTTTTAATTAATAGATGTATAGCATCTATACATATCAAATAAAGGAAAAACTTATATTTTTATCTATTATAGAACTTCTTAGTGGTCGTCCGAGAATCTATCGACCACTGTGTTGGTATTAAGTTGCGTGAAACTGCTAAAATACGTTAATCTTTCTTTCTCATTAAATTCTTTTCAAATTCTACAATTGTATATCCAAATTAAAAATACAAAAATGGCTAGCCAAAATTTTTTGTTTCATGTTATGGCGTGTGAAGTTAGAATTGTTTGTGAAATAAAATAAAAGTATTAATGTAGTCGAAATGAGGCTAGATCCCCAGAAATCGCTCATTGATCCTCTGAATTCAGTGTTTTGCTTTCGAAAATCCGAATGTCTTATTTTTACGCCAGGAGCTCCCCTTATCACCTCCAGTTCGTGTTTCTCACTTGGAAGAACCTTAAGTCTTAATTATTAGTTTTTCTTTTAGTGTACCGTTTTGTAACTCTTCCAAGGATACAATGTGCCATATAAATTGCGCTTGAATTGAATGATTTTTAATTCGTTCGCTCGGGCCTGCCTGTGTATTATACAATTTTCTTGCTCTAGTTAGTTGGGCTGGGCCGTAGAGAATAGATGAGCTGTCGTGTTGTTGTGTCACTGGTTTACATTCGGTTCTCCAATATTAGCGCTAGCATAACACGTTGATATGACTAATTTGTATTGTTAACTCGGATAAGCTTAAATATTGATTGAAATTGTGACATAAATGATCAAAATAAGTATGGATCAGATAGGGTGAGAATAATAATAATGCAATTACCAAGATCAATCGAATGTATGCTGGATGAAGTTATATGAATTCAATAAAGGCATATTCGATAGATGACTAGTGGTGTTAAACCAATAAAAGTAATAATACGAGTATGAACAAAAGAAGAACAGATAACGTTTGACTAAGAAATATTGTATGTACATTAGTCGAAACGGGTCATTCTGCAGTTGAAGTAACTACAGGCTAGTTGATCCATAAGCTCCGGCTTTTTAATCCGAATGTCTGTTGCTTCTGCTTTTTGTAGAATTTTGAGTCTCACCGACTTAGGTAAAAAAGTTACTAATCCGATAAATTTTTGAGACAGATTTATGTATGCTGACACTATGACCAGTTTGCACTAAATAATCCAGTACTCAGTTGTTCACAGCCTTCGCCAACTCCTTTACTTAGCCCCTGAGAACTGTCACCGAGCACAAAATCGTGTTGAATCGTCATATGGTATGACGGTGAAAACTATATCGGAAAGTGAAACGCAGATATTTACTTAACCTCGAGAAACTCCAGGGAACTGCTTGATTGACAAGTATTTAGACTAATGACGTTCAAGTGCGTTTTTTAATCTTGTAAACGAAAATTGGCTTAGCTTATTTTTTTTCCTCTTTAATACTTCTAATTACTTCAGAAGTGTACAATAAATAACAAGATGTCGACTTTTGAGCTATGAACGATTCAGAAAAGATACAAAATAATTCAAACTATTATTTGCTTGTGTACTCTTAGATACAAAGGAAAAAGCTTGTATTAGTTCGAGACTGGTTAATTGTCCTCACCCATACTTCTATATGAAACATAATACAAGGTCTATCTATTTGTGTTGTAAAATACGCGGTAAATCTCTTGAGAAACGAACTTGAAATCAAACTAGTACAAAAACCCGCCTAATTTACATGAATTTTCAAGTGATGACAATTATTGATGAAAATTATTTTTAAACTGAACTTTCTTTTGTGTACGAATATGAGTGACAGACAAATCATTATTATTCTAGTGAAACAAGTTAGTTTCATGAAAATACCAATTAAATTATTTACTACTTACTTGCATAATTCTTTCTGTTTGATTATAATTGTTTGTTACAACACAGTAGTTTATCGCTTTACTAATTGTTTCATGTAAATTTCTTTGTGTTGTTAGGAATTCTCTTGTAAGATTTATTTGTTGTTTTAACATATTATCCAGTGCAGTTAAACAAGGATTATAAGTCGTCAAAGCTAGTTAGAAAATAACAATGGTGAAAAATTATAATCAACTCTGTAACAAGGCTTGCAGTACACACATGAGCCATAATAGTTTTTGCTGATAAATTATATATATTTCAGATAGTCATTTGCACAAATGCCAAAGATCATTAACTTCACTGACATTATAATTTATATCACAGCAATTCTTTAGCAATATAACACTTACTGTGTAATGTTTTATAATTTATAAACGATGACGTTATACTTTGCATTTTAAGAGGAGTATCATTCATAGGATTGGGAAGAGTTTCATGTTTTATCACTGGGAATACGTGCGGAACATTATAGTATTGTGGAAAATCACCAGACCATACTGTTTGAACTTTAGCATCATATTTTTGAGGAGTTTTGGCAGAGTCTTTAGACATTCTGAAAACAATTATAAAAATGCGAACTTAATTATAGGTTGTTCACAATATGATTAGATACTTAATGTCATGTTTCAAACTGGGAAAAACTGCTGTCCAGTGCTTTTGGTTTAATACTGTTCTTCAGCTCTTACTGGTTCCTGCTGTATATTTGATGAGTGTTAATTTATCAGTTGGACAGAACTTCAATTTCACCGGGTTATCGTCCTGTGACCGTGTCTACCTCTGCAGAATTATTTACTAAGTTACTCTGCTTTAGCTAAATTTTTTGTATTTGAAAAATTAATTCTACTTCTTAACAGATTCATTTAATACCCGAACAGTTTTGACTTTTTATAATCTGATCGTCTGAGATTTTATTATCGAGACCATGATCAGCTTATCAGTTCAGATGTTTCATGTCACCCTAGAAACGTTTCTAATCAAATGTATTACCGTGATACTGAAATTCAAATACTTACAATCTATTCTTAGGGATCATTATAAGCAATTCCTATCCTATCATACAGCATTCCATTCAGCAAACTAAGAGTCTGTGAAGTTTTTAATTGTGCATTTTCAAGTGAGAAAAACCTACTCCAAGTCTCATTAACCAAAGAAATTATTTACTGTATAGTATCTGTGATTTTGGATTAGTTGTGCCGTCCAAACATTCGTAAATTTATGCTTCTCATTTTCCACAGAGGACCGTTTTCGACTGAAAAACTTAACACTTGTATAAAATCTAGACGTAAATTGTGACATGTTTGACAAGATTGTGTAAATTAAAAACAACTTTATAGATGATAAATATGTTAACAAATAACGCCTTTATACTTACTTTTTGCTTGAAGCTGTTTCACGTAAATCCGTTTTATTCAAATGTCCGTAGGAACTCGTAGATACTAATTGATAATTTGAAAAGAATTTTTATAGCATTCACATAGACCATACGTAAAATGTTATGTCAAATTGTATCAGGATTTTACTGCACTGATAATAATAATTATTTCGTTAAGTTCATTCAAAAGTAGATACTGGTTTTGTTATAGGTAATGATAACAACTCCGCCTGGAGCCTCTCTGGGACTACTGCCGGTCCAAAGGCCAGATAAAGGCGGAATGTTGGACATGAGGTTGGCGACCCCATCCCGTAGAAAACTAACTCGCTAAAAAACGCTAACTAGGAAAATAATGATGACACAATATTAACTGTGTATTAAATTAAGTGTTCTAGTTAGCCTCATCATCACTAACGATATACATGCCTAAAAAATAAAAATATGAGAATACAGTCATTGGTGAATCAGAAGTGGAGGTAATTCATAGTTTTAAACCTATTAAGTTGTTCCACTACAAAGAGTGTAGATTAGAAGAAACGTGCGAGCAGCTATCGTTTCTAAAGGGACTTCAGATTTTACAGTAGGATTTCAGCATTCATATGGTCACCTTAGCAGGAATATTATAACTATTTAGCTGAAACTACCACAGACAATTAAGAAATAATTTAAGTAAGCCAGAACAACCTTTTAAATTAAGAATAGAAACAAAGCGTTAATGTCTGGTATTTGTCATTAATTCATGAAAGTAACTGGATATAAACTGAATTGTTTCAGTTTCAGAAATTTCACTGAAATTTCTTCAATTATTTCCCCATTAAGTTTGGTACGTTGTTATTTAGCCATTGTTAATAACTAGCGTAGCGTCAAATATTATACCTCCAAACAACTCTAAAGTGTATTTACTTCACGTAAAAACATAAAGGGTATGCAGTCTGTAAATAAACTAAAGGCGACTGATTATTTATATCAGCAGCACAATGATTCAAACTGTATGATAAAAAATCACAAACTACTTGGGAAATTCGGCTTACAGTCTATGAATTCTTAACGATAGGTCATTACTTCTGTGGTAAAGAAGTACACATCAGAGATAGAGAGAACATCAATATTTCGACAGAATATACCATGTAGTATTAAAATATCTGTTTAATCTGTTCAAAACAGAACAAATCACAATGTTGTATAGTCTTGAAAATAACGAAAAACATCTATCAAATATATATTAGACTCAAATTTTTTCGAACTCTTTTCAACTCTATCCCATGAAGATTCGCATATATATACGATTTGAACATTTTTATTTAGCTAATGGAGTTCTCTTAAATTTGTTAAGTATTAAGCTGCTCAGTGAATAGAATTTTAATGAGATTGACTATCAATTTTTTAAATGTTTGTCAATTCAAATTAATGGTGTATCATGAAGATCAGAGTTGGTTGGAGAAAACTGGTGCGCGGCCTATGCTCCATTAGGGGTAACAGGCGTAAGTAAGTTAAACTAATAAACATCATATGGTAAAGTGCAAAGTATTTGAAACATTCAGAAGGTTAATTTTTATTGAAAGTTGCATTAAAATGTATGTAAATTCAATACTCTTAAGAATATAGGCCTTGCAAGAATTGTATATGATATGTTCCTGTTTAAATTCAATAAAACGACATATTCACTGAAGTTATGCCTTTGAAAAATACATCATATATGTAAATAAATAACTCATAATCGAAAAACCTGAATTATGAACTTTTGAATTATTTGAATGATCAGCCTTGTTTGTTTCTCCACGTAATGATGATTTCTGTGTTGCAGAGAAACTGTATTTCATATTTTCTTCAATTGAACTAACTGGATCATGTTCGTCTTCAAAATCATCTGAATATTCATCAGCTTCATTTGTATTTCTATCACTGTCCACTTGATGAAATATCTCTAATGGAGTCTTTTTATTCGATGAATCCGCCGTTATTCTACTTGAACATGAGTTTTCACATTCAATCACTTCTTCAACGTCCATCAATGATTTTTCATCTAGGACAATAAATGAGTTTTATTGATACGTATTCCAAGAATAAATATCATAGCAGAAAAATACCTCTAATCTAATATACCAAGTAAATCTTTGGTGTCTTGCTGTTTTAGTGAGTGTACTTCTTCTATGTCGGTAAAGTCGTGAAAGTTTAAACGGAATAATGAAAGCAGATATAAGGATTCGACTTCAGACGAAATAACAAATAAACTGTAATGTAACAACATCGATAAACGATGATAATGTTTCGTTAAGCCTGAAAAAAATTGAAATATGACTGTTCCTAGTCAATTTCCAAGTATCTCGACACATGATCACTGTCCTAAATCAATAAGTGATCTACACAGCACACTAGAATGAGCTTCTCAAATCACGCTGAGTATAAACGGCCGGCTTATCTATTCGATCATACATCTTGAACGCTATCTTTTAGGAAACATTGAGTAATGGCAACAGCAGAAAACTCTCATTAGAATTTGTAAGATTTTTAATAATTACTTTCATAATTAATATTACTAATACATATGCATAAATATTTCATTTTACCATAAGTGCTAAAAGTCGTGTTACTATAGATTTTTGTTATTCTTCATATACAAAAAATATAGTTTCAGCTTAAAGTGAAAAGATTCGAATTATCCCATTTTGAAACAGTGCACAAATCAAATCAATATTTTCATATGAATTAAAACAATGAGTATTAAAATAATCAGCAACGATAACATATTCCAAATACAATTTAGAGAAAGCTTATAAGTAAATACACGTCAGTAGCCGAAATGAATTTTAAATCAGTAATAGCAGATATTTATTTCTTGTTTGTCAAGAGTTGCCTCAAATAAACCTTCGTTCCGAGTGAAAAATGAAACGACAACCACAATAGCCATTAACTGGTGTTACTGCTTATCTGAATAATTTTTTGTGACTAATATGTTATACGTATTATCACTGAATGTTGTAATAGATAATGTTTAACATCAGTAACAAATCCAGCTACAGAACTATAACTTTCATAAAGTTTTACATGTTGACTCTGTTTCGGTAAACTTGCAAACCTCTTCTATTCAGTTGAACTAAATTATACTCAGTTAGTGGAATTTACTTAATTTTGAGGATCCAAATACGAATTACTGAGCTCCATAGTCTGAGGCGTTTTGTTATACTGTCCATGAGTGATCTTTCGTAGGATCCATATATTTGTAAGTGATCGATCACCAGGTAGCTACTAATCTCATGTTTGTCTAGCCTAATAACTCTTTCCACATTTAAAATGTTTATTACTTCAATCATTTAAGAAAAATAACGAACACGTTGCTTACCCCAAACTAGCAATATCTCCAATAAACTCAATCGATTGAGTGCATATAAACTATCGCAATACAACTCACTTGAAACCTAATATCAGTATTTCTAGGTTCTGATGAAGATTACTTTTTATTATGTACTGTAGTTTTAATTCAAATAACGTTTTAGTGACCAGACTATAAGCAAAAAACACCAAAAACTCACTGCATGATTTGTCAAACCGACTTGTTGAGCGATAACTTCCACAATCTATAATGCTCTCATTCATTAATTCATCAACAAATAATATTAAGTGATCACTGATTGTGCTTGCTCTGCTTTCAGTCCGTACACCTTCTAAAGGAGCTGAATTTTAGTAAATAAGAAATTACCTTAAAGATTTATAGATTGAGTGTTTAATTCAATACACATCTCATAAATTGAATGAATCATAAACTCGCATCTCAGACAATACGACGGATGGAATGTACGTGATAATCATTATGGTAATGAGTCTTTGAAATTAAAATCAAATGGAGAAAAATTTGTTTGAACTTTTATATGATGATTGTCAAACCAACTGAACATAAGTGCACTCATTTTTTAGTTTTATAATTCTTCGTATCATACTACTTATTAAGTATCTAGAAACACAAACTTTTTATGTTTTGTTTATAATAACAAGTAATATCTCTCTGTTACAACGAACCGCTGATCCTACCGATTTATATTACTATGATGATACTACAGTTAATGCTGTTTTGCCAAGTTGATCCCTCCATGTATATCACACATTGAAACTTATTTTATTTTCTACAGATCGTCAATTTTCAGAACTTTAAGTCTGATTTATTCTCATCAATTTTCATTGCCATAATTTCGTTTTTTATCCACTTACTTGAAATAAGCACTTTTCTTTTCCCACTGTGTATGCGACTTTTTCTTTCCTAACGATTTATGGTTTGCAAATGCTTCAAATGTGTATCTTTTTCATCTGATAATTTGTTATAGACGATGGTATTGAAAGTTTAACTAAATCTAGGAAGTTATACGCTAAAATCAATTACTTGGTCAAAGGTCTCTAACACATTCCACAGCTATACTGCGTTTTCTCAAGTCATTAAATTCAATAACCAAAATTCGGAACATAAGTATAAGAATACAATACACTAGTCACTAACTAGTAACGGGCTAGCTAACGTCAGGATGAAAATTTCGAAGGCAGCTCCAAGTTTGCATTCAGTATAGTATGGTGGATGCTACTCACAGGGTAGCATACAAATAATATGCAGGAGAGCGTCGCTCAGAAGTTCCTACCAGAGAAAAAGGTATCCGGATATCGAAAAGCATAGCGCATTCCTAGTATATTGAGACCAGAAGGGATGTGAAAGGAAAGAGTCAATAAATTGCTTGCTTTGCAAATGCATATTTGAAAATTTTGTTCGCATACTTTTTAAATAAAATGACTTTTTCTAATTTGTATATTCCGTCTGGTCTTGTCTTCTTCATATTTTACAATAGGAGAAACTACTGTGTAGTGCAACTACCTCCTGAAAGGTAGACGGATATCTTTTAAAAATCATAAATTCTACAAGTTGTTAAAGGTCAATTGTGAGTTTTGCATTTATTCTGAGATTTCACCAGTCACCGAAGTTCGTAATATCTAAAGATAACTTATATGACCAGTGCTCTCAACTATTCGGTACCTCATATTAGAGCTCGCATACACCAGCTTCAAATTAACACTTCGCATTTACTTAAAACCTTAGTAAGAAATTTTGTATGCACCCACAAAGTGTTTAGAAGCTTTAACAGTTTTTTAGAATATTCAACAGCTGAGAGGATGAAGGCATATACAATAATTTACTTCTCATTTCATTAGTTAGAAAATATGATCTGCTTTTTAGTTTAATAAGCGTTGCCTCTTTTCTAAATGACAAATCAGACACATTATTTTTCCAAATATAAAGATATGCATTGTAAACTTACCTATACTGGCATCAACTAATGAATCTTTATCATTGAAAGACAAAACTGAAATCCTATTTAAATCGTTTTCGTCATATTTTTGTACCACTGACAATTCCTTCTCAACATTACTATTGACTAAATGCTTCTCAACCTCTGAATTGGTTGGCTTAAAATCAAAGAAAATTAATTCATTATGAAATCAATCTATAAAATAATATTAATAAATAAATAGCTAAAACTGGAATAATCAGTATAAAAATATAAAAATTTTATTCTCGAGATTTTGATTTCATTGTTAATTTATTATCAGTGAAATTTACAATTGAAAGACATTTACAATGAATATAACATATGTGTATTAATATTCAATTGTGAAGTTTGATTTTATTCATGCACGCATACTTTAACTAGTTGCAGGAATTCAATAAAAGTTAATAATAAATACCATATAATTGTTGCATCATTGGAATACTACAAATATATTACATTGATTATTCAAAATCTACCTAATGCTCAATTTATTTGGAATTATCAGGTCAAATTTCGGTAAATGATGCCCAATGATTAAAGCTTATCAAAAACTCATTATCTAATATTCATCACAAAAGTTGTTTTAAGCTCGTTGATATAATTCCATACAGATTGTGGCTTTTTCATTAATATTAACCTTTTGATTAATATTTCACGTACTTGAACTTAGTATACAGTTTGAGTATGAAGTTTAATAATACTACCGGTTCATTAAAATCACTGTATTCACAATAATATACGAACATGAAATTCGATAGCCGCGATTCTATTATTCTGATAGCTACGCTGCTATTCACTGTCTGAAACAGAATCAACGAAGTATTAAACATTACTGAGCGTTGTTTGCGTTTTGCGTTCTCAAACATTCCTCATAAAATATGGAAAGACTAGAGAGAGGGAAATTGATTAGGCTACAGTTGAAAAGTCTTTTTTACGACTTGAATTCAACAGTTATGAACTAGATAGAAATATTGATTGAAGAATACAAGCCATAATAAAAAGGTTTTATTCGGCTACCACGCTGACCTGTCTGTCTCTAACGCAATAATCATTAAGACAGTCATGTGTAAGTGAATCCCCGATTTATGCAACCCCCAACTGCGTCTTACAGTTTACATGTGCATCCCTAAGCACATACATTCGAAAAACAGAAAAGGAGGTTGATATCTGAAACTTTGAACACACTGAAGTAATTTAGACTGACAGAAAAGCAACTAAAAACAAGCGCGATGGTAGGCATGGTATTGATGTCTGAAATACCTTTTAGATAATTCATAAACAAAGCATGTCGAATTAATTAGGCTTTGCTGAATTAATTCCGTAGAAAGACCTACACCGAATTTATGCTCCAAAAAGATTCAATTGTCAATCTTGCTTTGTTTTGGTTACCTCATTCATAAGTGTAACGCAAATTGTCTTTTCATGACAATAATTATTAGTTATCATTTAGTATCTGATAAGTGCTGAGTAAGTCAGTTTATTTAACTTTATATTTTAAGAATTACACAACAATTTCTCATTTTTAGTTAATTTGGTTTATTTGTTCTGAGTTGTTTGCTACAATATTTACTGATATCTACTGATCAGAATTTTTCGCATATTGTTGTAATATAAAGTATATGAGCTGATTTTCATTTATTATTACTATTAGTTATAGATTGTAAGCAGCTAGCTAATGAAAAACTGTGAAATATACTGAAATCATGTTATTCTTCTACATTACTTATTCATGCTTTAGGAAAAAATGTATTTCCAAGTAACACAAATACATACTCTGCCACTGGATATTTTCTGTGTTGAATATTTATTATAATTCAGTGACGTTTTATCTGCACAAAACGGAGTCAATAAATCTTCAGTTCTTTCATCTTCAGTTGTAGCTGGAGATTGTTTTCGAACTAACAAAACACAAATATCAAAATAAAAAGTATTAAAAACAATCAATGATCAACATGGTACAAATGTTAATGGAAATGAAATTACTAAGCCATCATCTTTGGGAATGTAATATAAATCATAATCAAATAATATGAATAGAACACAGTCATCTGATTGCCGGATGCGAAGTATAATTGTTATACATTGAATTTAGTTCAAAAATCATCAACACTATGAAGTGATTGTTGGATGTAGTAATGAGTTTATAGTGAAAAGCGCTTGTTACACTAGCTATCCTAATACCTTCTGATTGACAATGCAAACCACTGAAATAACCTTTAAGTCTGAAAACTTTAAAAGGTCTATGAACTTATCATCACCCTTAACTCAATCTCCAGCATTCAACAAGCAAACAAGTATTTACCTGAACAACTTAACTTATAAATATGTAATAATCTTGACCCGGTTTTTTTTAATTATCTAATAATGATAATTTTACGTTCTTTTAAACACTTTGTCAATTTGATGATTTCTCTAATATCCGGTGTTTGCAAACACGCACCAAAATATAATAGCATGCTTCAGTGTATGAAACTGGTGATAAATGATCTTGTGACAAAGTTTTACGGTCTACTCTTTGTTCGATTTCTCGAAAGTTTCTTGCATCTTAAAAATTAGTTCGAATATTTATTAGATACATGATTCGGTGTGAAAACATGGCAATTAGAAGAAAAGGGATTGCAAAACCTCAATTTAAGTTCATTGTGGAACTTAAATATTTAGGCCGTCGTCAAGTGTTAGACGATTGTTCCTTGAGAGTTATATATATATATATATCCCGACCGTAGCTGCTACCTTGACGTGGTGATCGGGCTTGCCTATCGTGATGACCCAACCGAGCTATACTGGCTGGAACATATGTTCCTGCAGGTACTACCATGCCAGGCTGGTCGATTGGAGAACGATGAGACTAAAAGCAGCTACCCAAGGTCTGAGGGCGAAGTCGTACTGCTGACTGCAGAGGGGTGTGCAGTAAGGTTTTTCCCACGGACAACCACCATCTGCAGAGATGCTGCCTTCTCACATGGAAGGAAGGGTTAGAAAATGTCACACCTCCCCTACCTCATGGATTTCCGTCTCCTTGGGTAAGGGTGCCCACTAAGGGCCTTTAAGAACGGAGCTAATCCACAAAAATCCTTTCATAAAAAGGCCGTGCGTGACTGGCCTCAAGCAGTTGTCCCTTGGGCTCTGCGGTCACGCACCCAGGTCTCCAAGGACAATACTAATCTATATTCCTTTTCAGGTCCCTCATGAAACAACCTTCCACAGTGTGGGCAGCCGGGAAGTGACAACCGCCCTCATACCCGTAACAGCACGCGAGACCAAATTGGTCAAAATCAAATCCTTCCTACACCCCTAGTACCTCTCTTATCTCCACGACTAACTCTTCTCACATTCATTTATCACAGTGCACAGCTAATGCAGACGACACGAGCTCGCGAAACGTCGTTCCTGGTCTCCTTAAACCCCGCTCTAGACTACATGTTGGAGCATTTAATGTACGGACATTGTGTCAAATAGGGCAACAGGCATCATTAGCTAGGACTTTAGAATCTCGTGCCATCGATGTATGCTGCGTCTCGGACACGCGCATACAGGATCCTAGTGAAATTATTAATCTGATTTCACCTTGTCAAAATAAAGAAGCAGCTCGATTTACTCTTCGTGTATCCGGTAGCCCTGATGCTGCTTCCAGGGGTCTTGCTGGCGTAGGCATAGCATTGAGTGGTAGAGCTGAACAATCTCTCCTTGAGTGGATCCCGGTAGATAGTCGCTTGTGCGCTGTCCGACTAAATAGGACAGTAAGGACTCGGAAAGATAGGGACAATCGCCGTTGCCTCTTCATCGTATCTGCCTATGCCCCCACTGACTGCAGTTCAGACGAGGTTAAAGATGAGTTTTACAGAAAGCTTTCGGACCTCCTCCAAAAAGCTAGGCACTCTGATATAGTATTAATGGCTGGTGACTTTAATGCTCAAGTAGGTAGATTAGGTGAAAAGGAAAGACATCTAGGTGGATGTTATGGTGTAGCGACTGAGAGAACAGACAATGGTGACCATCTGTTGCAACTATGCTCAGATAACCGCCTATTCTTAGCGAACACCAACTTTAGGCATAAGGAAAAGCATCTGTTGACCTGGCGACCCCCAAAGTCGTCTCAACGTTGGACACAACTAGATCACATCGCCATCAGCCACCGATGGAAGGGTTCGATAGAAGACTGTCGCTCGTTCTGGGGCACATGTTTAGATTCAGATAATGCCCTAGTGCGAGCGCGTATTTGAAGCTTACTGGGCGTAGGAAAGACACCGTAATGAAGCCTTTCAGGGTTTTACTTAATGATAATAAGGCGAAGAATATATTTCAGGAACAACTAGAAAAACAGTTAGGCGACCATTTAAGCGATTCGCATCCGGAGTCAGATTGGAATGATATCAAAAAGGCTATGGTAACAGCAATGATATCTGCTAGTGAGGTTGACCATAAGGCTAGAATGAAGCCGTGGATCTCTGTAGCATCCACCGATCTGATGGATGCCCGAAAACTCATCCCACCTGGCTCTGAACATGTTGAAGAACGAAGTCAGCTTAAGCGCAGACTGATGAAAAAGCCTACGTAACGACCGTGAACAGTGGTGGGTGGCGAAAGCAAAAGCGATTGGCAACAGTAGACAACTTTTCCGACTTATCAAGGAAACTGGTATTAGGAATCCTAATGTAAGTGGGACTATCTCGGAAAATGATCGGACTATTATTTATTCCCAATCCAGGAGACGGGATCGATGGGCAGAACACTTTAGGGATCAGTTCAACTGGCCTCGAGCCACTCTTCGGTTACCCACGATCTCCAGCCATCCTGAATGGCAAATCGACGTAAGTCCCCCTAGTCTTAATGAAGTTGAGAAAGCGTTAGGAAATCTGAAGCGAGGACGAGCTGCAGGTCCTGATAGACTGACCCCTGAGATATTTAAGGATGGTGGTCCAGTTTTAGCAGCTAAGTTGACTGAGATCTTGGGTAGAATCTGGGAACTGGACGCAATCCCATCCGACTGGTCTCAATCACTGATTGTCCCAATTTATAAGAAAGGACAGAAGTCTTCTTGTGACAATCACAGGGGAATAAGTCTAACTAATATAGTTTCTAAATTGTTAGCCTCGATTATACTTAGACGCCTTACTAGTGCTCGTGAAGAGCAGACTAGAGAAAACCAGTCTGGTTTTCGACCTGGACGTGGCTGTATAGACCACATATTCACACTACGACAGGTCCTGGAACACAGACACACATTTAGGCGTCCTACAATAGTTGTTTTCCTGGACCTTAAGGCGGCATTCGACTCAGTGGATGGTGAGGTTCTTAGGCAGTGTCTGTCACTGAAAGGTGTACCAAAGAAGTACATTAACCTTAAACAGGCTCTTTACTCGAACACCACTGGTCGAGTGAGAGCTTATGGCGAACTGTCACCGGAATTCTTTACTTCAACTGGTGTCCGTCAAGGATGTCTACTCTCTCCATTCTTGTTTAATTTTATCATAGACATGCTCCTAGAAATAACCTTATCCTCGTCTGAATTTTCAGGAGTAGACCTCTTACCAGGTGGCTCGCTTATTGACTTAGAATATGCCGATGACATAGTCCTACTTGGTGAAGACGCTGACAAAATGCAGATTCTTCTGACCACCCTAAGCAACAATGCAAGCATGTTCGGGATGCGGTTTTCCCCGTCGAAATGCGAAATGTTGCTTCAAGATTGGGTTTCATCGGCACCTGAACTAGTGATAGGGAGTGGAGTAGTCAAACGTGTAGACCGCTTCACTTATCTGGGGAGTCTCATCAGTGCCGATGTCCTTGTGACTGACGAAATCTCAGCTCGGATACAGAAGGCTCGATTGGCTTTTGCCAACCTGCGTCACTTATGGCGAAGGCGAGATATCCGTTTGCTGACTAAAGGACGAGTGTACTGTTCAGTGGTTCGCCCCGTCTTACTTTATGGCTGTGAAACATGGCCAGTGAGAGGAGAAGATATTCGTAGGTTACTGGTTTGCGATCATAGGTGTCTTCGAAGCATTGCTCGTATATCGTGGGACACCCGAGTCAGCAACGCTGTTATTAGGAATCAGGTGCTAGGTAAGAATGGCAGATCAATAGACGCAGTAGTGACACTTCATCAGTTGAAGTGGTTGGGACATGTGTTGCGTATGCCTAACCACCGACTGCCTCGTCGAGCTATATTTTGCGGTGTTGGAATAGGTTGGAAGAAAGTTAGGGGCGGCCAAACCAAAACATGGTAGAAATCCATGAAGTCATTGACGAGTGGACTTAGCCATGTCGGTAATTGTCGACTACCTGGTCGGGGCCCGCGAGATGATAATAATCGATGGTTAGAAACGTTGAATGATATAACTCAAAATCGTTTGCAATGGTGCCGGTGCATTTATTCTTTGTGTTCTCTCAAATCCTAATCTTCTGGGTTCTTCAACAACTCTAGTTTTGACTTTCTAAACTTTTCTCATTAAATCATACTTCTTGAATAATATCTTCTAATCCTAACCTCTCCGATCACTCCTAATACCTTTATTACCTCTTCTACTATTGGATTTGAATTGACAATTACATCTCTGTGCTGATGTGGTATGGAGACATGGACTGATGTACTTACGCACGAAGTTCTACGTTGCACCTGACTGACTGACATATATATATATATCACTATGTATAGTAAATAAAACTAGAAATTAAATAATGATAAAAAAATTAATTCCTGGTAGTGAATAACTGTCTTATCAACTCTCTAAAGTGATACATTTAAGTAACCATGAGATAACTATAACATGCATTTACTTACCAACACTTTTACGGACTCGTTTTTCTGGATTTTTTAAGAATCGTCTTCCCCCTTCGGAACTTTCACTTGATGTTTCGTCAAACGAGTATTCAGATATTTCATCCGTCAATTGATTTATTGTCTCCTTGTTTTTCATTTGTAATAAACTTTGTAGTAAAACAGGGCAGAAAAACGTTGGTTTATTGATAAAACTGAATATTATGTCAGTATTTACAGTTTTTATCATTTAATTGACTTTAATTGAAAAATTTTACCACTGAGTTACGACTCAACAATTTAATATTGCCGCAAACCTGAAATCGCTGAGTTTCACAGCGTGCAAAGTGCTGCACGCATATTGATAAAAAGTCTCTAAGAGGTTCTCTACTGCTTCCCAAACTTCGGTCGTTATTTAACCTATATCATTGTGATGAAATTTACTTAAGTGTTCACGAACTAACTATCTGGAATGATGATATCTTTTCATCTTTCTCATTCACATTATTATTGCATCATTTTTTATCGTGAGGAATTCATTCCTGGTTTATGGGGTTTAAAAGAAACTCCAATGAAAATTTTGTAACCATTTGGACTCGTCATTTCAGAAAAATAGAGAATATTAAATGTTATTTAATATCACTAATATCTCATTACTACTAGCCTAACTATATAAAAAGCAATAATATAATTCCATGATCACTTACTTTTGATTAGAAGCACCTGCCTATCTTGTTTTGTTCAATTTTTATAACAAGTGTAATTTATATTCTGACGAATTTATTTCAAATATGATTCGTCACTTAAGTAAATATACCTAAAGAAAAAGAATAGCAGATGTATAACAAGTAAAAACATTCAATACTTGACGCAAGATTGCGAATATCAGAAGCAGAAAGACTAAAAACCAAACAGTCGCCACCTTTCTCAACAAAACGCTTTCTCAGAAGTAGGCATTTATAAATCCAGTAGTGGCGAACCATGTACTTTTTGGGTTAGGTAGAAAATAAGATCATTTTAGGTTAAAAAGTCCATGTAAAAAATTTACAACTTAACATTTTAATAAAGAAGATACTTGGACAATCGAACAAAAAAATGTCAGTGGATGAAATAGATTGGAAATTCGATAATAATTTTATGAAAAGTATTAGCTTGTTGGTCACCAACTTGGTCGTCAATAATTTAGAACGATGACTGATTACTTTTCGGTCCCTAGCAATTACGCAATACATTCAAGTACATAGAGGAAAATCACATCTACTTTTTATGCGAGTCTACCATAGTCAGTCAGCTACAAAGTAGAACTTTGTACGTACATAAATCAGTTCCAGTTGCCATACCACATTAGGACAGAGAGATCGAACTGTTAATTCAAATCCCTTAGTGGCAGATGTAGTAGAAGCATTAGCGGCAATGGAGAAGATAAGGGTTCGAATATATGATTCAAAAAGTATATTCCAGTGAAACAAAATTAGAAAGACGGAAAATGTTATAAGAATGAAAAAAAATTAGAATTTGAAAGAACACGAAGGCTGAATGCATTTGCGATATTGCAAACGATTTCAGCGATGTAATACAAAATCTCGAACAATCGGTTACGATTAGTGCTTGGATTACAACCAGGCAGTCTATACTTACCAATAAAGCTCAGTCTAGCTGTCCGAAACTTCAAGGATTTGTTCCGTGCTTTGCTTTGGCCGCCACTAGCTTTCTTCCAATCTACTCCGAAAACACAAAACGTAGCTCGACGAGGCCGTCGGTGATAAAGCATTCGTACACATTTCCCAACCACCTTAATTGATGCGGTTTCAATACGTCTATTGATCTGTCACCCCTACCTAGTACTCGTTTCTTAACGAAATAATTGCTTACTCGGTTGCCCTAGGATATACGAACAGTGCTTCGAAGACATGATAGAATACTAGTAACCCACGAATATCCTCAACTCTTACTGGCCATGTTTCACATCCATAAAGCAGGACTGAGTGAACTGCTTCATAGTAAACTCATCCTTTGGCTAGCAAATGGATATCTCGCTTATGCCATAAGTGACGCAAGCTGGCAAAAGCCAGTCGAGCCCTGTGCCCGTGATGAGAGTTCGTCAGTCACCAGACTATCAGCATTGATGAGACTCCTAAGATAAGTGAAGTGTTCGACACAATCAATTACTTCATTCCCTATCACTAGTTCAGGTGCCGAAGCAAGCCAGTTATGAAGCAAGATTTTGCATCTCGACGAGGAAAGTCACATCCCGAACATGCTTGCATTGTTGTTGAGGGTGTTCAGAAGACTGCATCTTGTCAGCGTCTTCGCCAAATAGAACTATATCATTGGCATATTCTAAGTCAACAAGCCAGTCTCCTGGTATAAGGTCCACCCTGAAGTCAAACTAAGATAATGTTATTTCTAAAAGCACGTCTATGACAAACTTTAATATGAATGGAAAGAGTGGACAATGCTGACAAACACCACTTGAAGTAATCGGTTCCGATGACAGTTCGCCATAAGCTTTAACTCGACCAGTAGTGTTCGAGTAGATAGCTTGTATAAGGTAAACTTTTCGTTGCACTTTGTAGTCGGCACACATGAACGGCGACTAGTGTCGGTAGAAAAAGCTGTTTTCTATACATCGACCGTTTAACAATGAAATTTCACTGTCTCATCAAAACTGGCACAGAATTTAGCGTCATTCCAGCGAAAACAAATAATCGATACATGATCCATTTTTTGATCGACTCCAACGAATAGTGGTTAACAAATGGTCATGCTAAATTGTCGGTTTGTGGAGTTTTATTCTGATTGTAGGTTAGCTCAGGTCACGGTTCAACATATATTCGACTTTCTTCACTCCATAACATCTCTCTTGTCTCCATAAATAACTCTCCACTGCCTCTCCCTGACCTTATAGATACATTCATAGCTTTGTTATCATTAGATAAAACCCTAAGAGGTTTTCTTGCAGTACCTTTCCTACGACTAAGATGCAGATAAATACGCGCTCGCACAAGAGCTTGATCTGAGTCTGAACATGTGCTTCGAAACGAGCAGCAGTCTTCTATCGAGCCCAACATCGGTGGCTGATAGCCATGTGATCTAAACTGGTCCATCATGAGACAAGCTTGGTGGTCTTCATGCTTCGGGTTAGTAGTTGCTAGGAATAGGTGCTTATCTGAGCATAGCTGCAACAGACGATCGCCATTATCTATCCTTTCTGTCGCGACACCATAAGATCCACCCAGGTGCCTTTCCTTCTCGCTTAGTCTACCTCCTTGAGCATTAAATTCACCAGCCTCTATTACTACATTGGAGAGCCTAACGTTTCGAAGGAGGTCCAACAGCTTTCTCTAAGATCCGTCTTTTATCTTGTCCGATCTGCAGTCAATGGGGGCGTATGCGGAGACGGCGAAGAGGCAATGGCGAGTTTGTCTATCTTTCCGAGTCCCTACTGTTCTATTTAGTCGGACAACGCATAGGGATCCAGTCTAAGAGCGCTGGTTCTGCCCTAAGACTTAATGATTTGCTTACGTCAGCGAGGCCACGGCAAGTAGCAGCAGGGCTTCCGGATACGCAGAGCGTAAACCGAGTTGGTTCTTTATTTGAACAAGGTGAAGTCAATTTAATCACTGTACTCGGTTCCTGTATGCGCGTTTCGGAGGCACAGCATACATCGATGGAGTGAGATTTCAGAGTCCTAGCTAGGGAAACCTTTTGATCGATTTGACGTAATTTCTGGACAGTAAAAGCTTCGACATGTAGCTTAGAATGGGGTTTCAGGAGACCAAGAATTATGTTTTTTGAAATCGAATCGTTTGCACTAGTGGCACAAGGCGATAACGGAATATGAGGAGGAGGTTTAGTTTAGGTGTGACATTTTTAGAGTCAACCTTTTTAAACTTTTTCCTTCCAATGTGAGAAGCAGAAGCGTTGCAGATGCTGGTTAACCGAGTGGAATACCTTACTGCTGTCACAACTCTCTACAGTAAGCGTTACGACTCCGCAATCAAACCCCTAAGTTAAGCTTTTAGTCTTACCGTTCTTGAATCACTTTGCCTTGCACGACAGAACCTGAAGGACTGTTTGTTCCAGATAATATAGCCCAGTTTGGTCATCACTATTGGGAAGCCCAACCAGCAAGTCGAGGTAGCAGCTACGGTCAAGTCGACTTCACTTGTTTTTTAATCACAATAACCAAAACAAAATACTGGTCGACATACTCATTAAACCTTAGTACTTTTTGTTCAAATATTTCGTCTATATTACATTAAGTTAGTAATCTTTATTAACAACTTATGGTATCTGGCAAACATACAAAAATTACAGACGACTAAACACACATATCCTTCCAGTTTGGAATAAAATAAATAGAATCATCAACAGTTCTTCTCAGATTAGCCCAAAGTAAGTTTTGTTTTGCCTTTATTTGACTTGATTTTTATATATATGTATAATATATTTAACGCCACAAACAGTCATTTGTATTTCATGGTAATACGACGTTTAAGCAAAAACGAAACGCAACGAGGTTATATTTATTTCATATAATCACTTATTATCTTGAAAGCTAGCGGCAAGCACACAAGCATGAAGTTAGAACACCAATAAAACCACTCTATCTAAGACGTTGAATTGTATTTATAAAAATATATCGTGTTCAAATTATGGAGAATAGATAGACGATTAATTAAGTTACAAGTATGTGCACACACTGTGACAAAGAGTAATTATTCGGGTTTGCCATGTGAATAACTTTCAGGGGCAAATATTAACGTCGGTATTGACTGAAAACGCTAAAATAGTTTATCTGTCCAGCATCCAGAATAAATGATGCAGAAGTAATGATGGAAAAGTTGCTACATGAAACCAAGAACGCAATCAAACGTTTGGGTGTCGATCAAAATAATCGCCCACAAAAATTGTCAACAAAAAGACTGCTATCAAGTTTCATGCAGTGAAATTTCTACAAAACTACTTAAGCCTGCAGTCTTCAGTGAAATCTACCGTAACATTACGTACACAACATAAATAAACAGACTGTACACCCAAATGTTACAGAACCACCAGAATATAAGTCACAGTACTTATGTAGCCCGTGTCTAGCTAGTATATATATATATATATATATATATATATATATAACTACGTATATATGGATGAATGCAAAGATAAAAGGTTTATTACCTTTGTTAATACCTTAGACAGAGCATAAATACGTACTCTTGATGATGAAAATAAAGGTCTTTTTCAACAAAA